CGTACAGACTGTTTAAGCAATTTCCTTCGCGGCTCTGCAGTTGGCAGCCGTGCAGTAGTAACTGGTGTCGGCATTAAGACAATCGTCTCTGAAGCAGTCATAAGCGCACTTGCACTTATCTGTAGGACCCGTGTCTGGAAATTTAATCTTCTCTGGGTTTCGAGACACACTCACCTTGTCCACACCCATCGGCCAGAGGTCATCACCGTCGTCGTCAATAACGATTACCTCGGGTTTACGAGGAGCCGCTTCATGACGAAGCACAGCATTGCGCCGCGCAGACAGCGCCTCACAAACTCCTGGCAGCCGCAGAAAGCTATTCATGTACATCGCCTTCATTTTGCCGACATTGTACACTTTGGTGGAGGTGCGGACGGGCTTTTTGTGTCCCCTGTAGCGCAGCTTTCGCGAGCTTGTCTTCCAGGGATTGTTCTTCATGCGTTTCTTCTTGTCCTCCCGCTCCTTGTACGTCTGGACGCCCTTGGCCGTCGCGGTAGCCTCCGCTGCAAGCTCCTTCTTCACAGTCGCGTCCATGCCTACCTCGCGACCCTGTTCTTGGCTGCATCCCGCAGCCTTGTGCCCTGCCGTCTTCCCCATGATGCTTCCTCTCCTCGACTGCCGCGAATTTTCAAATGGGCCCTTTAACCTAGCATATGTCATTGCCGTAGGCTCAGACTCAGAACCACCCACACCAACCCCTATCATCACTGCGCGGATGTGCCACAGCGGACAAACTCCATTTTGTCCGAAATTCAGACTTGGCTGTCCATTTTTTATATTCTCTCGGAGTAATAGCTTCATGTTGAACCAGCCGCATTATACCCGCTTTTGCATATTCCGCAATTGCACGTTTTCGTCGAGTCGAGTGACGCTGACAAAAAATGTTTTATTTCAAAGAGAGTGACTATATTGACCGACTGAGTTAACCTTCCCCTACAAATTTTTGACGCGCTCCCATCCGTACGATGTATACAGTGTGTACCATGTATACCATTCAGCCTGACAGCCACTAAATTTCGAACAGCGTAACGATCGTAAGGCTGCAGGAGGGGGAAATGGATCTTCGCGTCCGAGCCGTCCAGAAGAGGCCGCTAGCTGGGGCTGTCGCGCGCGAGATCGACGAGAGCGACAGCTGCGATTCTGAGCCGCCCCGAGAAGCCTCCCAGGACGACGTCTGGCTCCCAACACCCGCTGCGAGCGGTGGTGGTTCGGGTGATGGAGAGTCTTCCGAGGCTTTCAGTGTGTCGGATGTAACCGATTTAACCAGCAGCACTAGCGAGGGTGGTCCCCCCACACGCGTGGTGGCATTACCACCCAACACGGTGGAGTTCGCCTCGTGGGAGGCCTTCGACGAGTACCTGGCTGCTATGTATCTGCGCTACAGATACATATATATGTGTCTATAGTTAACTCTTTCAACAAGTTGATTTTGATTCTGCACTTACCAGTCCCACTGAGCTTTACTGAATAAAGTTTCTCATGCTCATGACATGATGCCGGTCGTACTTGCACGCTCATCCAACAAAGTCTTCACATCCGGATATACGTATACGGACGCTTGATTGCTCAACTGACTTATTTTGTGTCGGGCATGGTCGGGTATTGATCGGGTGCTGTCGGGCACCATTAGCCTGTCTCTTCCACACCAGTCGGGTTGAATAGCAAGTGCCTATTTCAAAACAAAATAGAAATTCGCAGTGGTCGACAGCGCTTTTTTATGTTCACTAATTGCTCCCGCTACACAAAACAAGCGCTGTGACCAGTGGTCAAAACACTGTGGTCAGTGACCACAGTGTTTTGAGGGTGAGCCATCAAAGATTTGCAAATAAGTCAGATTTTAGCAAAACAAATACAGTAGTACAGAAGACCCGGTAGGGGTCGTCGGACTAATTTTCATAGGTAATTGTCTGTTCAATTGTGATATGCTCAATGTACTCAAACCCCTGTTATCCGATATATATAGGGGATTCTGAATTTACAAGTTACGCTTTTTCAGGGGGACTTTTGACTGTTTTGAATAGTTATTTTGGATTTAGGATCATTATACCCGGAAGTTTATAAAAGGTCCGAGGGGGCTAAAACGGGGTGCAGTACTGTACGAGTAGGGATCCAAACGAGGGCTACTTGGTACTATATTGTATTTAGTATTCCACTCTCTTTAATGCCTGCTCGGCAAAGCTAATCCATCTGTGTGCTTTTGTGATCCGTGTGTGTGGAACTCTGGAACATGACTTACATGGTCAAGGTTCGATTCGGGTTTACGGGGCGGCCGGCGATCAGTTTCTTAGATCGAACACCATCATATTTTTTAACTTTAATTTTGCTATTTGCTGCATTTTTTGAAAAAAAGTGAATAAGTGAATATTTTAGATCTTAGATTAAAAAAAAACTTAGCCACTTGTGCGACAGGGCGTGGCATCACACTACAAGTCGATAATCATTTTTAATGGAACTCAGCATCTAGTCTAAATGAAGCCCAGATTTATGAATTTAAGGAAAAATTAATATTAATACATGTACTGTATATTTAAAATGGCGACCGGATGGCCAGAAAGATTCCAGTATAAGCAGTGGCATTCATTGTAGCTAAAAAGTTCACGAGGTCTAAATATTAATGCCTTCAACGTATTACACGTTTTACAAACTCTCTGGAACATATTACCTCACTCGTGCTAGCGAGCTAATCCCTGCACGATTAATCTAAATACACCATGGCAGTCATGACAATGTTCAGGAAAGCAATAGTTGCAAATACTGCGCCGAAGAAAGAACTGAGTTCTTCCATCTGAGCAAATTGAACACCAAGCGCCATCTCAAATACCACCGACAAGTAGTCGACAAACACCTCAATCGCGAGCTGCAAAGCGAGAGCAACGAATTGACCGTTACGCCAGGAGATGCCCACAGATTCGTCCTTGCGAAGCAACCCGAGGCGATAGTAATGTGTATTTTCACCCAAAAAGTATAGCACAGCAGCCGAGCAGCCGATAGCGATGTACTCTGCATACATATCAGCATGCAGTTCAGCTGAATGATACGCGTGACATTTCTTACTTTGCAGCACGAAGCTCTGGATGAGGTTTTCATTGGAAGGATGGAGTTGAACATTACTGGATATCTGGCGAAAATCCGTGAGTGTAAGTTGATGAGCAGAGGCCGTCCGCATCGTAATCTTTTCTTTTGGACGAATACTCCACACCAACCTTGTTGCTTTAATTGCTCTTAAAGTTATTTCAATGAACATCATTCCAATCGTACTGGCAACGAAAAAGTTGCTATTCTGCTGGCAAAGAAGCAGAATTCTGGTTTGGGTATCGATCAGCACGGTAGGAAGACTCACAAGAATGCACATTGTACGGATATCACGCACTCGTGACTTCAAAATGTACAACTTGATGAGTTCCTGGATCACCAGCTTCAACAAGGTGGTACCAATCATAAACCACGCGATAATCACGTCTCCACGTTCTGCAAGTCTTTGTTGGCTCAAAGAGATGCACATATCCGCCAATCAGTGGTACTCCTAAAATCTCCGAAATTATCTTTATATGCACTGCCCACCAACGCCGCCGACGTACGGGTACTCGGTCGCCTGCCAAGGGGACGACGCTATTGGTTTTACTGCCTTTGCCTTAAGAGCGTTGCCGCCGAAGTTGACTTTCACGACCCTCACGTGTCTCCGTATAGTAAATGTTTCGGAAGGTACGTATGACTCCAGTGTTGTAAATAGAAGCACATGCAGCTGACAAGTACATGTCCATCTTGTATTCTTGAAGACAAGTATTCGCTACGAGAACCCCCACACCAGCTAATAATGCCACTGTGACCACGGCATACCCGTATAGCCCTGCAGCTAGTCTTATCAAACAATATCGGACAGTTGGACGTCCACCAGAAATGTTGACAAAGTGGAGAGAGCGCATTGCAGGGACATAGCCAATCCAATTAAGTGTGCAGTACCCAAGCGCAAACCAGATTGTATTCGCGATGATTAACTCGGTACCGGACTGATGCGATGAGGCTTCCCCACTGAAGACATTTCCGAGAGAGAAACAGCCGCATACCATCCAGGAAAACATAAATGTTTGGATAGCGTTTCGAACCACAACGTGTTGGACACTTAGCGCTTTATTCCATATCGCACGGCGTAGACTACAGCGCAAAGAAGTGTTGACGGCCATACAGTAGGTAGAAGCCAGATGCTTTCTCGTTTCAGTCGCACCGAATGTTCTATCATTAGACCATCGTCAATAAATAGTCAAGCAATAGGGAAGTCAGCGACGAATAATAATTTAAATTATTATCTGTTTTAAAAATAGAAATTAATAAGCTGCACTCAAATATTCAGGCCGTCTTCGACTTGCTCCCAAATAGCTATTTAATTAAGCACACTAATAAACCATCTCAGTCTCATTAAGGAGCTTTAGCTGCTGGAATATCTTTTGGTATCTGAATAAAATCTGAATAAATGACGGATAGATTACCGATCGATATCACTACTAAGGAAAACGGCCAGTTTGGGGCCGCCGACCAATTAAGGGCCGAGCCAAACTTACAACCAATAAAACTTGTTATATGCAAATGAGAGACCATGGGTGGTCGAAATACGTTAATTACGAAACCTTCAGACATTGATAGACGAATGGCGGGAAACAAATGCTTTGGTGCCACCGAGCTAATACGCCATGGTCAAGTACCGGACAGAGGTAAAAGCTGAAGCGGTAGCCCTGGTTCGAGGAGGCGTACCAGTGTCTGCAGTTGCAGAAAGAATGGGAATTCTAAAGCGAACCATTCGCAAGTGGGTTCAAGCTGCTACCAGTGGCAAGTCGCTGGAACCCGCTCGAAGAGGACCACGTCCACTGCTGCCTGAAGAGGCAGAACGCCATATTTACGAGTGGGTAGTCGGTCGGCAGCTTGTTGGGTTTCCTGCCGACCGCCACCAGTTCCTGCGTAAGGCCCAGGAGGTGGCACTCCTTGTGTGTGGTCGCTCTGTCGGGGATGGCTGGTACCGGCGATTCATGGAGCGCCATCCAACGCTGGCAAGTCGCACGGCTCAGAAGCTCACGCTGAAGCGGAATAATATTGACTCTACAAATCTGACTACTTTGTTTAACTCACTAGCCCAGCTAGTTATTGAGCTAAAGCTGGATGCGTCGCGCGTGTTCAACATGGATGAAACTGTCTTTCAAACACGAAACAAGAGCAAAAAGTGGTGGCGGTGCGAGGATCCTCTAACGTGTGGAGCATGGATCCTGCTATTAGTTTTCACCTGACTATTGTTGCAGCGGGGCTGCCGTAGCTTTAGCGTCAGAGGAAGACGTTCGACTCAAAGAGTCACTAATACTAAGTTCCTTATCCAAAGGACACTTACAGCCCAAGACCAGGGCTCAAAGTTAACACCTTAACTTTTATGCCTCAAACCAGAAGTGTTTTAATTACTATTATTGCCGCCAAGCCGCCTAGGGGTAAATGTATCTCTTTAACTATCTAGCATAGTTAAACCCTAATCAAATGCATAACGTGTGGCTTTCAGCCAACGTACTGAGAGACCTTGTTAACTCTCCAACTTATGTACTGAGAGTTTGTTAACTCTCCGGGTACTTCGTACCCCTGTGTGCTCCACACCATGTAATCCCGTTACAATTGTAGCATGTGGAAGCAGTGCTGGCTTTGTCGTGCCACCCGCCTTCATCCTGCCGGGAAAGACGGTTGAATGGGATATACTAAAGAATTGTGATATACCAGGGGCTTCCATTACTACGTCTAGCTCAGGTTTCATCAATACGTTTTTGTTTGAGAAGTGGCTGTTATTTTTCGCGAAATCTGTGCCAAGTTCCGTGAAGCGGCCGCTGCTGCTTGTACTGGACGGATGCAGCTCTCACTACTCCGCGGGCGTGGTCAAAAAGGCCTCGGATTTGGATATCCTACTCGTTTTGCTGCCGCCAAATGCAACCCACCTGCTACAACCTCTAGATGTTGCTGTCTTTGCCACACTCAAGTTAAAATTATGCAACTTAATTTACGGAATGGTGGAGGAGGACGACGATGGACGCTACACGATTGACAAGACGACAGCGATACGCTTGGCGAGCATGGCGTGGACGACAGCAAAATTGGCCGGAACATCAAGGTTGGATTCAAAGCATGCGGAATTTTCCGCTTTCTTTGGTAAACATGAGCAATAGACTAGGTGTCTACAACAAGAATGGAGTCCCTAGCCACGCGCACCTTGCAACGTGGCTGCACGTAAAGTCGACGGTCGAACATGAGGTTCTCAGGCTTCCCGTACGGCCGAAGAAATCAACAAAGCGCAAGCGAGTCGAGCTGGGTGGCCAATGGCTGACGCAGGCGAAGTTAGAAGAGGCTGCGGCGAGTGCAACAAAACCGCTCAAACCAAAAAACCTAATAAGCCGATATCAGAGCCAGCTATGCCTGCCAACATTGTTTGTTCGGTTGTGGTTTAGATCAAAAGAGTGTTAGTTGGATGCTTTGACTGAGCTTTGAATAGAAAACTTTACTTACCATTTAGTGCGGAGAATAAACGTGATCAAGCGGACTCGAACTCGCGACAACCCTGCTCCCCGAAGGGCCCTCAATAAGCTAGCCGTCTTAGCGACTGAGCTGTCAGCACTAATTAAGAAATGCGATAATCACTTTGACAAATTGATGCACCTTCACTATTCAATATACTTTCAATTTGTAAATCATCTATCTCAGATATAATGATGCAGTAACCCGATCCCTATTACCATGCGATTTTCGTGGTCGCCTCTCTGTAGACCACCGGTACTTTATTCAAGTCAAAATCCAGCCCTTAATTGGCAATCGGCTCAAATTCAATTGAAAATCTCGCAGAACCTTTATGCCATCAGTTTGATTGGTCCGGCAGCACAAAAAAATTAAGGAGTAGAAGAGATGGTGGGCTTTCCAAACCTGCCACATTTTGTCTCTTCTGATAACGCGATCCCGAGTTATGAGAAGAATAATTGGGCGTCTCGAAAACGGCCCGAAATTGGCCATTTCCCTTATATTCCATCGCTATTCCACTGGAATATATTCAGGACGACGAAAATTCTTATTCCAAGGCCTGAGTTTTTCCAAAGGCTAAAGGTCTCTATTACTCCATTGACAAAGACATGCACCTCCTATTGTTGACGAGATAAAGATAATCGTTTCGAAACTGGCCGCACTATTATTATATAATAGCTATGATCAAAAATTACTTGTTTTACAACCGATCTAATAGCATAATTCTAGTGCTGTTATCGCAGTAAATTACATACGGAGGTGATAAAATATAGGCGGATGCTACAGCCCATGTTTTCTAAAAGGGTTAGGTGGCCAAATCATGGAGTATCGCTAGGTTTTGTCCATGATTCTAAAAAATAAATTACGAGGAGCGTGAAGTTTATGCTGAATATGTTTGTGATATGGCGTAACATGGGCAACCATATTCACAGTAGGGTGTGAAAATTGAGGAATGAGTGCGCTTTGGCTTTGTCGGACGTTTCTCAACTACTGTATTGCATGGTCAAACTACCGTTTGTAATGAGAGATTTTGCTGTACTCATGTCAAAGCATGGTGAGGTCATGGAAACATGGAAACATGTATGTTTTCGGACTTAGAAACTGTGTCTACTTAGCTAGCTTTTTTTGCCTTTGCTGTCGTCGCTGAACTCCATGATGGTACGCAGGATATCCCATCAACAGCGTAACAATCCATTGGCCGTGTAATTGCTGTCTGCTCCCTTTCAGAACCGGCGCCAGAGGTACAAACAGACGAATACCGCGCAGTTATTACCGTCTTTCTGGATGGGGCTATGCACGGCTGTGATGCTAAAAGCCTTTGGAAGACATTTCTTCACGATCTCATCTGCCAGCTCTGCAAGCAAGTTGTGGTTAGCGCGCTTGTCCATGCTATCGTAGCAGCACACAGTCTGCGTATATACATCCACCACGAGGCAGGTCCAGTGAGTTCTGTTAATATTCTGCGGCAAGAAAATTCGTCCCGAACTGGCTGCAGAGATCAAGCTCAGTATCGTAGGTGGAATACGCATTCCTTTCTTTGGGGTCTTTGGTACCGGTGTTTTCATGGGCGGCAGCAAAATAGTTGTGTTGTTGCTGTAGACGCCTTCTACCATCTTTCCGTAAGCGGTGATCGTATTGTCGTTATACCAGCAGTCGACACGGGCACAATACAGATGAGACCATTCAATGTCCACACCTTCTCCAAACCCAGGAAGGCGTTCGTTCGGCCAAGCATCAAGCATTCGCTTAGCTAAACCGGCGGTTTTATCGTAACAAATCAGGTCGTCTGCGATACTCATAAGCCATGAATAGCATTGCATACCCTTCTCACTCGCATGACAGAGAGTCCATATATACTGCATAGCCAGCAGTTGTTGGTGTGTAAAGTCTCCAATGGAATCAACAATGAGCATCCAACACTCAGCAGTTGTATCCACAGGTGTACACAAATCGATAGCTTCACCGAAGCATCTTTTACAATCGTAGGCCCTCGCAAACCATACCTTCCGGTAGTCGATATGGAATGACACTTGGCTCCGGAACTCGCCATATTACCGATAATTGCTTGGGGTTGGATCGGAGGTGGCGTACCTCAAACGTACTTAAAATGAGGACAGATTACCTAACGGGGGCTCACACGACATGATAAATTCTGCAACTTCAACCACATCATCACCTCTCAAGGCCCCTCTCAGTTTTGAACCTTGGTTATACTCCTTCCGTGATTGCCTCCGATGAGCTGCATCAGCTGCTTTATCCTTTCGTGGTCGTCCAACTCGAGTTCTAGGCTTGAATGGCTTCATACTCACTGTCTTTTGTTTACATTTCTCTGTTTGTTTGTCCTCAGTTGTAGCCGTTTCATCTGCTACAGTATCCACGTGTACAGCTTCATCTTTTTCATCATCATCATCAGAAGTAGCCTGTGCATCGATTTGCGTAGGAGCTACTTCTTCATCAGATTCTTCTGAATGGTGTGGCGTTTTCATCATGGTATCTCCGAGGCGTAAGCGGCCCCGCCATTTTTCCAAGTCATCAAGTGCAGCCGCAAACTTGTGGTCCGGTAGGTCTGATAGCTCAGTAGTTAATCGGCTGAGGGCACTCTGAGCCACCTTGAACTTATCGCGCTCAGTCATGCGCTTCTTACGAAAATCATCAACTCGAGCCGATGATATACGCAACGGTACATCCACGGAAGCTATTTCCTCATCCAAAGATCCCATGCGCAACCATCTGATGAAGGAGCTCATAGACCGAAAACATGGTAACAAAACATGGTCGAATCGCGTAAACATGAAAGCGAATAATGGTCATTACTTAAAAAACATGCTCAAAACATGGACAACATGTACACTTTACCTAACAGGAATGGATGAATATGGAATCGTAAGCAGGTGAGCGACGTGCTTGCGGTAAATCATCTAATGTCGACAAGGCAGCTTCATCGTCGACGAAAATTCACAGGAGCACATCCAGTTGTACTTGTTGACGCGATAGTTGTGACCGTCCCGGATAAAATTGACGTAGAGATCGTCGTCCGAGATGCTGTACATCTTAGCAGACTCAGACTCCACTGCAAACTTGTACTCCGGCTCGATCACGTCTGCTAACCACTCACTCGTCATCCCGAGAAGCTGATTCATCTCATCCTCATACGACAGGTCGCGACGGGTGCCGGGCATGACGACGCGAGTTGCATACTCGTCCTCTTTTCGACGCTGGTAGCGTATTGTGGCCTCCAAGCACTCCCGCATGGACATAGAGCTATCCAAGTCGGCTTTCAGCTTTCCGAAAAAAATTTCCAACCTGTTGTTGGTGTTGTTTCGGAAGTGTGGCAAATTTATGCGGTAAACCGTAACCCACATATCCTTGCAAGCAACCCAATTCTTGTCAAAGTAGTTCCACAAAGAGAAGCGATCATCCCGACATGCAAGGTGTTTGAATTCGGCTGCGTGCTGCTCAAATTCATCATCAGACTTCGAATACACCATGCTCGAAACGCAGTGATCCATTTGTTTTAGAATCCCACTCGGGTACGTGTCGTATTTTTTGTCATCACGAACTGCGCCACGTAGCCACTTCACTACATGAAACTGGCACAAAAGGATCCGTGCGTCTGGAAACTTGGTGCGTAGCACACCAATTTCAGTAAGATCTTTGTCCACCATGATGACCTGAGTACGCTTCCAATCGTTTGCTAACTGAAATTGTTCAACTGCCTTCTTCATGTGCCAATCTGTGTTTCTCTCAAGTACAGAATGCTGAACAGCCTGGCCGTGGCCAAACTGACCCATCACCATCAGCGTACACAGTTGATACTTATATCTGATTGCCATGACAAAACACAACGAAGCCGTGTACTCGTAAGATTTAAATCACACAAAATCATGGTCAAAACATAACGAAACATGACATGGGTTCGGACGCACCTGTTCGTCTAGTGAGTGCAGTCTACGAGCAGTATCTCTAGAAAACGCTTGTACAGCTTACGCATATGCTGCGAGCTAATAGTCACAACGGCGGTATGCCCATCAGTATCCTCGTCGACAGCCGACACGTTTCCTGCAGACTCGAGCTCGAAGCTAACCAAAAGTTCTGCCACGAGGTCTTCATCGCTTAGACTACCACCTAATAAATATAATAGTGAGTAAACGATCAAAATCAAATAGAAGGTCTGTCGTACCGGACTTTTTTATCCGAGCAATGAGGTTGTGCACATCCTTTAATTGGATGTAATGAGGCGTTCGTTCACGAATGCAATCGTAGATTCTGCTCGCCTTGCTGCCGCTTGCTACCATAAGCTCCACGTCGCTCATGATTGGAGAATCTTGAGGTACTCGTCGCACTGAGGGGTACATCCTGTACACGTCCTCTGACATAGTATGGTTGTGTCCGTAAAAGGCTTGCTTGATTTCGATACGCCACTCTCCATCAGCGAGCTGAACGTATTGGGCACGAAATCGCATTGGGTATCCCACACTGTTCACGGTTTGTCGAGGTCTGATGCCTTTAGAACGGACGCGTTCCTTCCAGCCGTGCGTGCATATGTAGACACGCTGGTACGGGTCCAGATTTTCTGGGACAAGAGGTAACTCAGCCTTCGGTTTGCCAATGTGTATCTTCATCTTCGCTATCTTTAGGTTTCGCAGCCGCACATTTTGTGTCTCCGAAATTACCAGCACGGAATGAGCATCCTGTTGATATTGCGTCAACCATTTCTCCAGATGCTTCCAGCTTTTGTAGTACTTTCGTAGCGGAGGAGCGTAGTACAATTCATCTTCACACTCGGCGTGGTCCCGCTTGCGACTTCCACTCGAGCCAGCATCACCACACTTCTCGACCCCACTGTAATTTGTAGTCGGCTGCTCACAGGCAGCCTAGATTCCCGATTCCAAATTCACATTACTATCAGCCAGTTGGGTGCTAGTTTCCATCTCTTCTGTATTTTGGGCATGTGGAATGCCATCAAGCCCAGTTGCGCTCACAACAGAACTACCAGTATACGGAAGCCGATCGTGTCCACTAGAATCTCCAGCATCACTGCTGCTGCTACTGGTGGTTGCCTTTATTTCAAGCGCTCGCAAAATCTTCGCAGTGTTCTTGGTACGAACCATTACTAAATCATGTACAAAATCATATTAAAAACATAATTTAGATAAAAGCAAATTCACCGCCATTTCGACATTGCGTGTGTACGTACGACCGTTGTAGCACTTGCCACTTGCAGCTGTTGTGTCTTCAAACACGAAACGCTATTTGATAACTCGAATCCTTCTCTGAGGCATAGTCATCGTCAAAACATGATCCTTTCGTACTGCACAGCATAGTAACTGCACGTATACTCGAATCGTACCCTTTACTCGTATGAGATACAACCTTATATATCACGGACGTAGTGGAGAAACCGTTGGATAGCGGCGGAAGGAATGAACTACCCTACCACAGCTGGAAAATCTGGAAAAAGCAAACAAACGACACGTTAGATGCGATATAATCCTTGGAGAATCCTAACAGCGCATGTACCGGTTGCCACACTGTGGGGGAGAAGGGGGAGAGTGTATTCTAACTGTCGCGGGCAGGTCAGTGAGCTTAGCTGCCTTGAGAGAGCCGAAGGGGGGCGGCGAGCTTCTCGTCCCACATGCGGCAGAAAGTTGAGTGGCCACAAACACAAATCAGTAATTTAAAAATCCGAAATATATTTTATTTTACAAACATGGCCAAACATGGTTAAAACCTACGAAAAACATACTGAGAAAAACATGGACTCGAGATTTTGCGTAAAATATATTGCTTTTAGTAAAACAATCATTATATATTCGTACTGTATTTATTCGGATCCCCAGCCAGGTCTTTCAATATCTGCCAATCATTTGACTTCATTTGCATGACTTGATAATTACATTTTGAGCAAATAGCAGACCACCGCCTAGCGTAATAAGCATCCCCAGCATGTCCAAGCTCAACCCAAACGCGGGCGAGTGGGTCCCCACGTACGTCGCACGCATATGGATTCCTAGCTGCACTCTATACTTGTGAATTCCGTCTTTAATATTCTCTTTGCACTGCAGTTTCTCCGCTCCAGCAGCTTCTCCGACGAAATCTTCGTCTGCTGCGTCTCCCGTTAAGGAGAAATCGCCTTGTAGCGAAGACAAGACGCCAGTTGAGACGGTCGAGAAAGAGGCATCCACACTAGTAGCTGTCGCTTCAACCAATAGCAAGACAGCGCTGGAGCGAGCCTCTGAGTTCGGACATGACGTCGCACTCGATGAGAACGGAGAACCCATTTCTTACGTACGAAAGGACAGTTACTGCGTTTTGGAGGAGTTCAAAGAAACCTGATGAGGTCAAAATGGTTGCAGGAGGGATACTCGCCGCTGCACGACCGATTTATCTACTCGAAGGAATATTTACTGGCGGTAAATGACGAGACACAGAGAATTTCAGGGCGTTTGAAACACTCACGAGATCGTGCCACGATGTTACAGTTCCAACCACTGGGAGATCGTGTGGTCAAGGGCATCCCAGATGTCGTGAAGAATCCAACTCCGTCAAAAGTACGTGAAAAAGTTTTTTTTGTTAGAGAATTTTTTTTTCTAATGTGTTGTGCTGGTAGAAAATTGGTAATAAGGTGAAAGGGAGACTGGTGTATACCATGCAAGAGCTTCTACAGGTACCGTTGGTGATTTAACCTTTAGAGATGAGCGGTCATTTACCCGAACTGTGTGGATTAAATCGCTATAGTTTCAACCTCTGTTTGAGATGATGCCGGAGGATTTCACGTGGGCAGATACGATCGGTGCAGACGCTGTAATGGGGGAGAATAAAGGCAAGAAAGGCAAGAAGGACAAAAACCGTCAGCAACGGGGGAGCGTCTTGTCGTATGACGCGTCTTTGGTGTGCTACTTTAACCCGACGGAGTATGCTGCGGCCATGAACATGGGGCTTTACACAGGCCCACCTGAGGAGTCTACCAAAAGCTCGGACAAGGCAAATGTGCCTGAAGTCGAACCGGTTAACCCAGTCGAGGAAGCAATTAGCGCCAAGCGCCGGATAGCCAGGTTCGTTGTGCATACACTTGTTACAAGTATACACTCATGTTGACACTGTTGCGCTGTAGACTGCTGGATGACGTCAAGGCAGAAACGGTGAGCTCCATCCTCGAGTCGTTTATGGGGATCACGATCAGCTGCACACATACCCTGCAAGAAATCATAGGCTTGCTTTTTGATCATGCGATTGCAAACCCAAATCAGAGGTAGGTCCTAACGAGAAAGGTTTATTGCCGGTCAGATTAATAACCGATATCTTTAACGTACCTCACAGCAACTCGTATGCCAAGTTGTGTACGGGCATGTCGGAGCGCACACCGGAGTTTAAAGACGGCGCCAAGACGATCAATTTCCGTCGGATTCTACTCACCAAGTGCTACGAATCGCTGATTGAAGAACCTGATAGTCAGTCCTCGAATTTGAAGAAGAACGGGAGTAGCGGAGCGGCGCAACACTCGTGGCGAAGGAAGTGTATGCTGCAGAATGTAGGCTTCGTGGGCGAGCTCTTCCGACGACAATTGTTGACTGAGAACATCATGCACGTCTGTGTGGCGATGATGCTGGATGACGAGGTGAAGCCCCAAGCGGAGATCATCGAAGCGGCCTGTGGACTCCTGAACTTGGTCGGCGATTTACTCGATGGATCCAGTCCAGCCTCACGACGAACGATGGACGAGTACTTCGCTGTTTTAGTTCGAATTCAGGAAAACTGTCAGCTCCCAGATCGCGTCAAGAAGCTGCTTATTGATGTACGTGACGCCCCCCCCCGTCTTGGCCTGTGAAGTGGCTGATTAATGAGTAATGTGTTTTGTTTTGGATAACACGAATAGCTTAAGACTGTGCGAGCAGGTGGGTGGATAAAGAATCGCCAGGATAACTCGTCTGCTTCCAGTACACCGACGAAGGCAACAGATAGCAACGAAAGTAACGGGACAAGTGGTTCACCTGTGGAGGCAGTGGCAACTGCACCTGTAACGGGAGAGACATCACCAGCGGGAGTCGAGTGATTCTTTCACGATTTCAAGAATAGGTAGAAAAAAACTCTAAATAGCGAGTAAGGAATGACAAATAACGTAGAAAATCAACAGGATAGTTAGTTGTACCAGACCACCGCTTATTTAACCCGATACAAAGGAGAATGAGAGAGAAACAACCGTACCAGCATTGTCATCATTGCCGTGTACGTGTCTGTACGTGCAGGAGTTGAAACATGCCACTGCTTTCGTCACTTGGCAGGGCGAATTCGTATTTTACTTGGACTCTCGGCGTGTCTTCACTCACGTCAGCGACACTCTCAACCTCCTCACGAAGCGTAAATGCGTCTGGTTGTTCGACGTGAGATGCGATCTCCAAAAATCTGCACCATCGACGTAATACTGGCCGATCTCGAAGTAGAAACGCATCCGAATTCCCCGTAACAACGGCAACTCCCGACCCGGTAGCGCTCTTCATGTAGTTTTGAGCTTCCAACAGAAATGCCAGCGTCTGGTACACTTTGCTCATGTGACTGCAAGTAGCACAACATCAATTTTAGCTTCCGGAGTAATTAACCATTCAAGTACAGTCGGCATTTGAGTCACCTCTGGCCTGTGAAGAACCTCTCGAAGCCTTCAATCAGCAACACTGACGTCTCCTTGTCCATCACGTGCAGCGAGCACAAGAAGTGTTGCAACTCCACGCAGCTGCGAAGATATCTATACAATAAAAAATAAAATATCGTTAGTAAAGAAAATTAATTGAATATATTTTAACGAGGTTTGGCGTACTTGATGTGGATGCGGCTCCAGATGCCGTTGTTCTCTCCGGTCTGCACGGGCAGATTACATTTGGAACACGCAGTAAGCGGAACGATCTCCGACGCCGCCGGCTGCTGGGACGCGCCGGCGTCGCCACACATGACGAGCACCACGTTTCTGCCAGCCTTGACTTGTGTGAAGCCGAACTGTAGCAGTAGTGACGTCTGGCCTGCGTCTTTGGGACCGTGTAGATACAGCACACCGCTGCCCTTCAGCCCCTCGTCGGTGCTTCGACTAGGCTTCGCGTCTTCCGGAGCATCGGAGCCCCAGCAAAAGCCCGCTTCTTCTACGTGGGTGAAGAATTCCTCCAAATGCGGCATGGTGCTGATCAATTTCAGGAGTGATGGTCGGATCAATGTAGCCATCGTGGACAAATGGCTTCATACTGTAGTTGAAGTGCTTTTGCAAGATTCCCACCGTGGGTCCGACCCACGAGATACAGCCACCACAAACGAGGTTAAAAGATTCTCGCAAAATTGGGGAGCACGGTTTTTGAGGTTTTATTCTTCCTTCCACATAAGTACGATGGCTACGAGCAAAACTAGGAATTTATTCTTTTTCAAGAGCCAGCGTCAAAGCTGTGCTCCTTCAGTGGCGCTCCTTACTGGTGGAAATTCGCGATGTTCTTTCGTAAACCACGGCGATCTCCCTGCATACATTTCCCAGTCATCGTGAAGCACGCGGCGGCGGCCTGGGCTACCAGACGCGGATAACACATCTACACAGTGGACCCAGCACTTCCGTACAAGGTATTTGCCCCCTTGCTCTGACGTAATGACTACAACGTTGGACCCACCAGCAGCGGTGAAGCGTGCCGTCGAGAGTTGGGCCGATATCGGTCCTTTCAAGAGAAAGCCCATACAGCCCGGAGAGAGTTCCTTCATATTCGATTGGGGCGTCCGTGTTAAATACACCGAAGGAACCAAAACGAAGGTTGGCTATATTTGCCTGGCAGATGAGTATTGCCGACGCACTGATACCGCCGACAACTTGTTGCTGCTGTCGCATGGAAAGACGTCCACCGCCGTGAAGCACCTGCGACTAGTTCATCACTTGGAGTCTCCAAAAACAAAGAAGGCGATGACAACAAAACAAAAGCGGGAAGAAGAGATTGAACACTTACGCTCGTCTGTTTTGTACTCTCGCAATCCTGCCCGTTTAAATCTTCTCCTCGCGACGTTGCGCATTGTTAACCACAATTTACCGCTCCGGATAGGCGAGTACGAGGAATCAAGGCTCAAAGAAGCTCTCGTGGTCAAAGACGAGATGTAGGTCGTCATCACTGCTGAGCTTATCGAAGAATCAATTATCGAGCTCTATGTGTCGACAGCTAAGGAAGTAATCGAATTTATCCATTCAAATCGCCAATTGTTTCCTAACTTCACGATGGTGGCGGACTTCTGGACATGCAAAACGACGGGCGAGAAATACCTCGGCTTGCGAGTATATCTTACTGATACTAATTGGCAGTTTCGGTCTGTACTTTTGGGAACACGCAAGTTTAACCCCGCCTATGGTGATCGATATGGCGGGATTAGACGACCTTTTTCGCTGTGGGTGAAGCGCACTTTGGAGGATTTCCAGCTGACCGTTAAGGATTTCTACAGTGCCACCAGCGATAAGGGCTCCGATGCTGTGGGCTTGCTGACCGAAGAGCTCGATTTGCAATGAGAATGGTGCGTGGCTCATATGGCTCACGCGGCAACGAAGGCTTCCTGTGGAATGAATGACAATGCTACATGCAAAAATCCCGACATGCGTGATTTAATTGCAAAGCTGACACGGACAATCTACCAAGTTCGGCCAGTTGAGGTTACTGGTGATTTGTCGAAGCGCTGTGCAAAACCCAGACCGGAACTTCCTCAACGAAGTTGTTGAGCCATTTGGCCTTTCGGTTTTTAAGTTTGACAAGCTCCATTAAGCGTGTCTTAGAAAAGTGGCCTGCTTTGGAGTCGTGGTATGCAGAGCGAGCGAAAAAAGCAATTCGGGATAAAAACCACCAGTTGTATTCCCACTGGCAGCTCAAGAAACCAATCTGATCCAGCTCCTATCAATTTTGCAGCCTGTGACAGAGCTAAGACGCGTGCCTGTCAAGCTGAGTCTGCGACTCAAGTCGAAGCTCTGATGAAGCCATTCAAATTTTGTTTGAACGAACTTAACCCAGAAAAACCAGTTCGACACTATCTGGCGACAGAGAAGAACCCTCGGTGAATTGATTCCAGCGAGTTGCTGCCACTAGCAAAGTCTACACGTCTGCTACTACGGAATGCACTTGACGAGCGGTACTTTTGTCGTTACGATGATAGCGCCAAGATGACTGAGAGCTCTTTTGTGTTTGAAATGCAACAAAGGCTTCACTCGATTTACAAAAGTCCAAGATTGAGTCTAAATGCTGTTGTGCTTCTGGTGTGTCGTCAGCACGGCATCGGCACTCGTGACGCTTGTGCTAAGCGAGACAGAGTGAATGAGAAGATTCGCGATAAGCTACTCACTCTTATGGAAGCCGTCGCAGAGCCTATCGATGCTGCTGAACCTCCTTCTCCCACTCCTGTAGCATATTTTAGTCAATTGGAGAATTTATTTGCTCCTCCGCCACGCAGACCACAAGTCATCACCTCAGACCGGATGCACCGACGCAATGCAGAGGAATTAGACCGTTGGATTGACGACCCAATCGCGGTAGGGCGCTCACCGAATGGAGCACCCGAATCTGTGTTACCATTCTGGCGGAGAATTGAACACCAAGGTGAGTACAAAATTCTATCAAGAGTCGCACGATTGCTGTTCGCTATCCCAGCTTCGTCCTGCCAAATAGAGAGCGACTTTAGCGTGAGTGGGAGCATGGTCACTGTGCAACGCACTAGTTTGTCGCAGCACAACATTGATATGTGCTCGTTTCTAAACCGCAATCGCGAGTTTGTTGACCTTCTGCAGTGTGAACCGATTACTAAAGGACGCACCGACAGTATACATCCTCGTGTTTTACGTATCCGCTAGATTTAAATATGGACATGAATATCGACAATTTCGCGGACGAGATGCTGGCCAATTTCATCTCGAATTCTAGTTTGTGTGACGAAGAGAAAGACTCGCCATAGGTACTGTATAGCTACAATGAACGTGAATTTGTGAAGGAGTATATGGTAGGTCTACTCGACGAGTCTGTGCGCTTGATCCAGGAGACAGCCCGAACATTTCGGTGTCCAGTTCCTCACAGCAGAGCAACAGCGGCTTGAACTAGGATGTTTCGTGCAGGCCGAACGACGCTGACACCGTCTTGAGCGTGTCGTTCATAGTGACGGGCACTGGTAGCGCGTAGGGCGTAAGGGTTCCGAAGGTGTACATTGAGCCACTGGCGGACGCCGCAATGACGTACCCGGGCGTTCAGTTTAATGCGACGGGACTGGTCGGTTTTGCGAACATGGAGCTGGATGCCGGTGTAATTACGACGGTAACCGTCGGTGTCCGTGAGAAGCAGCAATAAACTACAGTGGTTTACATTGGGATCCGTCCAAAGTTCATCTTACGAGCCCTGATTGTGAGACGTAGCTGAAGCAAACTTCTCTAAGTTTCCCCATACACGCGTCTGTCACTTAGCTAAAGCTACTTGCATAAAATATATTGAGTTAAGCAGTGATACTTCATCCTAGGCTAACTCGGAACGTGGCCTTCCTGTTGCGTCCATCGCGTACCCCCCTTCTTTCTAGCACGCTATAAGATACTCGCAGCATTTCAGCAT